TTAATCATTATACTGAAGTTGTAAAATTTTTTTTAAAAAAAAGTAGTTGCTAAAGTTGTACAAATGCCATTTTTTTTGAATTTTTAAAAAAACATATTGTTAAATGCTATATAGCACTTATTAATAGAGTTATAGTACTATTGAAGTTGTAAAAATGCTACTTTTTGAATAAAAAACCTGTTGTTAATAGCATTACAAAAGTTGTTAACTATTATATTGAAGTTATAAAAAATTTTAAAACCGCCAGAATTTTGGTGACCAATCGTCGAAAAACTTGTTGTTAACTGATATACTAAAATTGTTAATAACGTTACAAAAGTAGTTAACCATTATACTAAAATTGTAAAAATTTTCAAAAATAAATTGTTTTCGACCATCAGAGCTCCGGTGACTATTGTCGTCGGTGTTTCAGCGACTGGCCGGCCAGTAGGGGTTTTGGTGTTTTAAAAATAATAAATAAAATGAAGAGCAATTTGGTCTTTTTCTTTAACATGATAATTCTAATTTGATCTCATGTGATCAAAATGAGATTTTGTAAATTTAATGGACGTTTTTGTCATTCTCAAGTTAATTTGTCATTTTTCTGTATTTTTTCCTACAATCATTCTATCATGCTACTATTCATGCTTTTAATGCTCCCCAACTTTTTGGTGCCAAAAGAGGACAATATATTGATCTATCTCTATGCAAACACTGACGTTGTTAGACAGAAAGGGAAATGTTATGATTTTTTTTTTTTGAAAAATCTCGTTCAATATTTCTCTATATTATTCTCGTACATACTAAATTCTCAGTCAATCACATTATTGTTACAGTAAAATTATTTATTGTTCATTATAAATCATCAAAATCATTAAATATGCACGATTAATTGCCCAACTCGCCTAGTATAAACTTCCATGATTAGCCATAGCAACCAGTGGATCAACAATCAACAGACGTAATAACATTAAAAAAGACAAATACAAAATAATATAATTTTGGGTTGTTGCAAACTTTTTAAGAAAAATGAAAAATCAACATAAGACTACTTTTGATTTTTTTTTTATCAATTCAGTTTTTGGTTAATTTTAAAATTATCTCTACAGGTTCTGCCACTATATAAATGATGGAGGAGACAAGAAGAGCTAATAAAAAAAAAAATCACAAGTGTATTCCAATGAAGGAGTTTCCTTTAACTCACGCATATAGCAATGAAGGCGAGTCCATTAACAGACAAAGCAATACTTGCAAACCCCAATCTTTATTCATGAAATATAAGAGACATTAAGATAAGATTTTGCAAAGTAAATAGAACTAAAGTAACTTAATTATTGGATTCAAGGTTATAGATAACTGGGGTGAGAAAATACGGAATAAGATATGGAATGATACAAAAAACATGAAGTGATTTTTACCACCTAGGCAAAAGTTGACGCAGCAAGCATTACCGCCCTAGTGCTTAAAATCATTGCTCAGGCGCTTAAATCACTGCCCAGGCTTTCTAACACCAACGTTAGTAATCCAACATTGTTTTCTACATTCTTCATCGCAATTTTTGAGAATTGGTTGAAGTTCAATGGTTAGACCTTGGTTGGATAGGATTTGAAGCATGCGAAGATTTGACTGAATATTTTGAGTTTAAAAAGGCTAAAAGGATTTGACATAGTGTTTAAGGGGGTGTTCCACTAAAACTCAAATCATGGTTTTAAAAATAATCTTATGGTATATAAAATAAATATAAGATAAAAATTATTTTGATTTGTATGGAAATATTTTTAAAAAGTGCTTATGGGGACTGTCAAACACCTTCTAAACTGTCTAGTTTTGCCAGATACCAAGAAAGTAAGGACTTGGGTAGAAATTAGTATTTCTCCGGTCCTTAATATAATACCAATTTAATTAATTTGATTAGATTAAGGAAATTAGGTAAGTTAGTTAATTATAAGAAAAGTAACACATTTTTCCTAAACCACCATAATCATCTTTCTTAATACCCCCTCCCCCTCTTCTACTTGATTATGGTTGAGGGAGTATCCATAGAGGTAATTTAGAGAAAATTGATAAATATGAGAAATGAGTCTTATATTTAGAACCAAAACCAACTTAATAATTGGATCCTATATTAAAGACCGGAGGAGTATTATGGTTATTGCGTTTGGACTCGTTTTGAGGCAGCAAATTGATTTTTGGTCTTTGGTTATTTGAAAGTTAAATTGAGCTCCTATTGGTTTACATTTTTTTTTGGGTCTACTCTCGAATTTGATGATGCGGAAATTTATGCGGAAACTCTTAAGCATAAAATTGTAGAATTTAGTTTGTTGAGGTGGTTTTGAGATAGTTAATATAAAATTGAATTAGTTGATTAGATACTATAAATATTGTTATACATTGGCTATGTAACTTTAATTTAGCTCTAGTATCATTGTGATTTTATGCTAATATAAATGTTGTTAATTATATATATAAATTATTGATTTGTGGCTTAAGGACGAAACAACAAGCTGTGGTGATTGGTGCTCTAGAAAAACTCATAATAATCAAAGGGTTTGGGGCGTCAGCTGTTCCCTTTTAGCTTCCTATTAATATGTCTCTGCTTCATAATTCATAAATGTTTATTTTTTTAATATTATATTCTGCATAAAATGAATGAAATTTTGTATCATACTCGCAAAAAAATGGTGAAGTATTTAAAATTTTTTAATGATTTTTGAAAGATTTTACATCTAAATTAAAATAAAACTACACTAATTTTAGAGTATTTTTATAAAAGGAATTGTAAAAAAAATTAAAGAATAAGTCATTTTTTATGTATAAGATATCAAAATTTCACTCATTTAATATAAAATGTAATGATAAAAAAATAAAAAAGGTATTTTGAAAATAGGAAAAAATTAAAAAAACAACAGAGGCACAACTAACACTCCAAAATTGGAACATGAGGGCCTGGATTGAACCTAGTCGGTTTTTTTTTTTTGTGGGGTTTTCCTTCTTTCTCTTGTATTATTTTTAAGGGTAATTTTATCTTTTTTTGTCTCTCTCATTTTTATCTTCGAAATTTTAAGAACCATGTGCCAAACAATTTTTCAAATGGTTGGGTAGTTTTGGCAACCTTTCCCAAGTGGTCATAATTACAAATGACAACTTACAATAATTAATGTTAACTTTTACGGGAAAAAAGCAGAGAAAGCGTCTTGTTTTTTTGCCAAGAAGAGGAAGCTCTAATGTCAATTAATGCACGATATTCAATTTTAGTAGTCAACAAATTCAATCGAGAGTATAGAATTGTAAGGCGCATCAATTGCATCGACGGCTTTGCTTTTGGAGTGTTTAGAAACCAAAAAACTTTTGTTTTTAATAAAATAAAACTATTTACACAAATCACCTTTAAAATCATACTAGTATTTCATCCAAACATTAATAACTTTTTGTACTAATAAAGTGCATTGAATTATACATACAATTAATGTGAATAATTACGTAATCAATAAGATTGATTTGGTAGGAATTATAATTATTAATTACTATAATTAATGACTGTAATTTTTTTATTACAAAATAGAGAAAAATTGATCGTAATTTATAAAAATATTATTTAATGACAGCAAGTCATAACAATGAGAAGAAGAAATAAATATGGGTACATTGTTCCAACTTATTACAATTAATTGATCAGGTAAAAAAATTACAATTAATTGATAAATAATTTTTTGTGCAATTAACAATAATCAATTGAAATCTTATTTTATTTATTCAAAAATAAAATAAATTAAAGAATTCTCGTCATAATATTTTCGTAAATTTGTTGGGATTATATAAACTTTCACATTAATGATTAATTACAACTTATGCCTAATGTTAACTTTTTCTTATAACTTTATTATTGATGTAACAATTTTAATATTGTTTAACTTCAAACTAGTGTGATATATATAAAAATTAATATAAAATGAAAATTATAAAACCATATACATTGATTTTGCATTAATTTTCTTGCTTGTTTTGATTGTTTTCCAATTTTTATTACCTTTTTTTGCCGAACAATTTTTTATAAGATAAGGTGTTTAAATATTCTGAAAGTATTTATGAAGGAGTATTCAATATTTAGAAATTTTTTCTGGCTTTTTTATACCTTGGAAGTTTATTTTTATAGCAAAAATATCCTAATCATTATCCACCGTTAAGTTTAATTTTTAAATTATACAGTTTGATTAGTATCTTTAATGATCAAACTTGATTGCAGAAAACAGAATAAAAATACTACTCCTCCGGTCCTTAATATAAGACCCATTTAACTAATTTGATTAGATTAAGAAAGTTAGATAAGTTAGTTAATTATAAGAAAAGTGACACATTTTTCCTAAAAACACCATAATCATTTTTCTTAATACCCCATCCCCCTCTTCTACTTGATTATAGTTGAGGGAGTATCCATAGGGGTAATTTAGAGAAAATTGATAAATATGAGAAATGAGTCTTATATTTAGAACCAAAACCAACTCAAAAATTAGGTCCTATATTAAACACCATAGGAGTATTATAAAATAAAACTTTAAGTTTCGATATATATATGAGGAAAAAAAACTTTATAGTCTTAATAACTTTTTATTGTATTTAAGGAGTGTTTGGATGAAAATTAAATTATAATTTTAAAAATATTTTTACATTTTACAAAACAAATATATAAAAAAATTTGTTTCGTTTTAAAAAAAAATATTTTAAAGGTTGCCATTTGCCAAACACCTTTTCAATCCTAATTCAATTTTTTATTACTATCCTTTCAAATGGACATTTGGTGGAAATTTAATATTATATATATGATTTTTAATTTAATATTTAGCAGAGACTGATGGATTGACGTGATAACCATTGAAAGGACGTGGCTTGCGCACGGTGAACCCTTCCGCACTGGATTGCTCCTGAAATTCAAATCCAATGTATTCTCTTCAGAACCCGCGGTTCCTTCCCTCGCTCTCTTTTCCTCACAGTATATGAACCAATCAGTAAGCACTCAAAGAGCTCACTTTCACTTAGCTAATCGCTCTTCATCGGCAATCTCGCCATACCCAAGCCTTTTCTGCTTCACCAATGGCGCACGTTACTCAACTCCCCTGCGATTGTGACGGTGTCTGTATGGTTTGCAAGGCGAAGCCTGCTGACGAAGAAAAACTGACGTGCAAAACCTGTGCTTCCCAATGGCATGTCAACTGTCTCTCTCAGCCACCGGAGACGATGGCGGAGACGCTTAAGTGGGAATGCCCAGATTGTTCTGTGCCGCCCTCAGATTTTCCTTCGGTTACCGTTGGCAAAGCCGTCCTTGACGGGGCCGGTGACTTGATGGCGGCGATCCGAGCGATTGAAGCGGATTCTTCTCTAACAGAGCTTGAGAAGGCGAAGAAACGACAGAAACTGATGAGTGGAAAGGCAGGTTCCGAGGAAGATGAAGGTAGTGTGAAGAAGGTAGAAGGTGAAAGGAAGGACGTTCTGGATATTCTCAGCGGGACTCTAAACTGCTCATTCTGTATGCAGTTACCCGAGAGGCCGGTCACGGTAACTCTGACTTCACTCTGATACTAAATGAGCGACATCTATTTTTGTTTTCTTTAATACTAGCAACGATCCAGATTTTTCTCAATTTTCTCTCATGTTTACTTCGCCAAAATTGCTGTTGTCAATTGTTAACTCTTTTTATTTGCCAATTCTTTGTTGTTCCATTTAATCTTAACTAAAAATTTAATCTTTAGGGTGTGTGGGGTTTTCTCTGTCATTTGATCGATTTGGTAGTGAATATATATCGCGATCATCAAAAGCAACCCTTTTTTTGCCTCATATTTTGACGTGATTACTTGTATTGCTGCAGAATCCATCTATTCGATTGTTATTGATTGAATATTGCTCATTGCAGTTGAAAATTATCATGACACTTTAATTCGACTGCTCATTTTCAAAATGAGTTATTCTTTGCCTTTTCTTTTTGAATATTGTCCTGACTTTCACACTGCATCTTTTCTTGTCAGGTTCTAATCTTTCAGCATATAGTCTGCCTTTATCTGAGAATTTTCTTATTTTGAGTGAAATTCTGTTTCATGATTCCTCCCAACACCTGCACTGTCAATGTGGACTTCTGTTGTGTCCCTATCTGTCATTACATTAGTATCTAGTGTTCGGAATTTTTCATCAAAGAAAGCAAGTTTTCGTAAGACCCTTGTGGTCAGCCTAGTTTCTTTGCATTATTTACATTCTGTCTACTTTCACTATTCTATTCTGTTAAGGAATGGTGGTAATTAGCATACTATAATAATTCGATTTAACAAGGAATCTAATTCAATGGCCTTCTTCAGACTCCGTGTGGCCACAACTTCTGCCTAAAATGCTTTCAGAAGTGGATTGGACAAGGAAAACTAACATGTGCCAAGTGTCGTAGTGCTATCCCTTCCAAAATGGCTAGTCAACCGCGTATAAATTCTGCGCTTGTTATGGCTATCCGTATGGCAAAAGTATCCAAAAACATAGGTGCAGGAGAAACCTCTAGAGTTTATCAGTTTGTACATAACCAAGATAGACCAGACAAGGCTTATACTTCAGAGCGGGCCCAAAGGAAAGGCAAATCAAATGCTTGCAGTGGAAAGATTTTTGTAACTGTGCCTCAGGATCATTTTGGTCCAATCCCAGCTGAGAATGATCCAGTGAGGAATCAAGGTGTGCTGGTTGGTGAATGTTGGGAAGATAGACTTGATTGCCGGCAATGGGGTGCTCACTTCCCTCATGTTAGTGGTATTGCTGGACAATCAAACCATGGTGCACAATCAGTAGTTCTTTCTGGTGGTTATGTTGATGACGAGGATCATGGAGAGTATTTTCTCTATACTGGAAGGTTTGTAAAGTTTATTGAATTGCTATATTGTTTTTTGTTTTTCATCTTGATATCTATCTGTGTCTAAACCGTTTGCCCACTAGCCTATTTGGTCATGCTGTCTTAACCTATGAGTTTGGGTGAATATTCTCACTAGTTTTGGTTTCTGCTGATTGTTTACTGTTGTTTTGCTGTCGCATGCCAAGCGCTCATGTTGCTTCCATCTAGTTTCTTATATTGCTGCTTTGCCTAGTCCTCCCATTTTTTAAACCTTTTTTGGTCTTCTGTTTTTCTTGTCTTTCTTTACTTTTTTTTTCATACTTCTGATTCATCTTTCCTTGTTTCTATTGGCTTTTGTTGAAATGGCTAACACGTCCCTTCTTGCAGTGGTGGTAGAGACTTAAGTGGAAACAAGCGAACAAGCAACGTACAATCATTTGATCAGAAGTTTGAAAAGTCCAATTTAGCTTTAAAAGTTAGCTGTTTGAAAGGTTATCCAGTTCGAGTTGTAAGGTACGCATCTGTGTTCAGAAAATCACTTCTTTGTTCATCTATCTTGGGAAGCTTATTCTCAATAAGGTGCTCCTGACCTGGTGAAAATTCTTTTGTCTAGCTGATCTCAGTTAGTACCATACAATGTGAAGAGCCAAGTAGTTAGTTGGTTTAATGACTTAGTGAAACCAACAAAACATAAGTGGGGGAAAGGTTAGCCGGAAAGCCAGTTTCAATTATGAATGAAGGCCAATCTTTCTTTCTCCTCTCTTTTCTTTCATTACAATCTCAACATTGGCTTTATTTCCTCATTTATGTCTTTACAAGTTCTTAAACTAGTGACATTTGGCAAGTTGACCTTTTGAATGATGGATCATGCTATTTGTTCTTTTTCCCCTCTACCAACACTTTGTGATGTTAAATCTATTGTATGATTGACATGCTTATTTATAGTTTGCTTAACTTTGAGAGTTTCAAAGATGCATTCTATTGAGCTTTCATCCATACTTACTAAGCTTTGTGTAACGTCTGAATGGCTAGATCTCACAAAGAGAAGAGATCCTCATATGCCCCTGAACAAGGATTACGTTATGATGGCGTTTACAGAATTGAAAAGTGTTGGCGGAAACAGGGGTTGCAGGTAGATATGATATTCCTTTATTCTTGTATTTCCTATGTTTTGGTTCTTGATTCCATGCAACTTTTCTAAAGGCATATGCTTAATTAGGGCTTCAAGGTTTGTCGGTACTTATTTGTTAGATGTGACAATGAGCCTGCCCCATGGACAAGGTATGCATTATGTAGCTCACTTAAATGTGCTGATCCTATTTGAAATTCCTTCTACTAAATTATTCTAAATGTGACATAGTGATGATCATGGAGATCGTCCCCGACCATTGCCAGTAATTCCTGAGTTAGAAAAGGCTACAGACTTAGTTGTCAGGAAGGAGAATCCATCGTGGGATTTTGATGTGAGTGATATTTTAGGATTTTCCCTCTTCAAATTTCCTATTCATTTTGTTGTCAATTTATAACCACTTCCTTTCTTCCTGAAATTGTTACTAAACGACACTATTTAGAATGTTTTATCGTATCATTAGAATTAGAGTTTTGGGAAACGTATAATTAGTTGATGTTTTCTTCAGGAGGAAGGATCTTGTTGGAAGTGGAAAAAACCACAACCTCCCAGTCAAAGGCATGTGAAAAGTATGGATCCCCAAGATGTAAAAAGGTCAAGGAGGGAAATAAGGAAAGCACAAAATCTTTCAATCAGGGAAAGATTGCTGAAAGGTATTATCATTATGCTTTGCTTTTATATTGGTCAACTTATTCTTTACTGCAGCGTTAGTTTGTCCTTACTCCCATCCGATTAAACGGGTTATTTCCTGCGTCTAAAACCATCAGTGATATCATTTAATATGGTCTATTTATTTTTACTTTGTTGTGCTTTCTATATGCAGGATTTGGTTGCCTTATCTGTAAAGAGGTTATGGTTACTCCTGTGACGACGCCCTGTGCTCATAATTTCTGCAAGCCATGTTTGGAAGGTGCGTTTGTAGGTCAATCTTTTGTGAGAGAAAGAAGCAGGGGTGGAAGATCTCTGCGGTCCCAAAAGAACGTGATGAAATGCCCTTCTTGCCCTACTGACATTTCTGATTTTCTTCAGAACGTTCAGGTGAATCATGCATAATTTGCTCTTAACTCTTTACTTTTGTCTGATCTTGATGACTGATTCAATGTGAAAATTGTTAAATTGATTGATAAGTTCCTCTGATGGCATGCATGTGTGACAGGTCAATACAGAGTTGTTGGGTTTAATTGAATCATTGAAAGCTGAGGCTGAAGAAAATAAAGATGAAAGCGAGGATGAAGATGGAGCCGAGGCAGACTGTGATGATGCAGTGGCCACAATGGATGAAGATAAGGATACTTCGGTTGAAGAACCCAATGATTCACCTGAGGAATCTGATGCTAGCAAACTAAAGTCAAAAGAACCTGGAGTGACCACTCGTGCAGCCAAGGATAATTGCAAAAGAAAGAGAGCCAATGCTGAAGAAATTTCTCCCAAAGGTGGCAAAAGTAAAAAGGCTGAGAGTGATGGAAATGATTCACCAGCAAGTCCTCTTCATTTGCCATCAGACAGTTAGTCATTACCAATGGATTCGGATTTTTGCGGGCTCTTTTTACAGGTGCTTTTTGGTAGACAAAACATTGGTTTATTTGCTTATGTCCATTACAACCAATTATTCAATCAAATCTGAACACTTGGATTTTATCATAAATATTGCTATGATCCATTATATTTATGTAGATGTTGTGACAGGGAAGCTCAAGGTTTGAGAATTTATTGAAGAATTGGTTCTGTAATGTGCATAAGCAAATAGACCTAAGTTTTCCTTTTCCTTTTTAGCTTGCTGGAAAACTGTTGATGAATAGGTATATCCTCAAATCAACAACCGTATCCGCATTGATGGCTCAGTGTTTGATGGGAAACCTTTCATGTAATTACTGGTGTCTGGTGCCTACCCAATTTCCTTTACTTTTGATCACTGAAGTAGTATTGGGGGATGATTCATGGAGATTAACCTCTGGTCAATTCAGCAGCCTGCAATGTTTAAGAAATTGTTAGCTTTAGTAAATCCACTGGTTCAGGTTCATTTGCCTCGTAAATACGCATCAAACTTTAATGTGTTGGTTCTGGTTCTTCTGATGCTAAACCAGTAATGTTCCTAGTACTAGTTTTTGGTCTTGAGAAACATTGAATTATTTTCACTCACACATCAGCTAGTTTGTTTACTTCTTACTTTTTAGCCTCCACTTCAGTGGATTTTTCCTTTTTATTCTTTATTTTTACTGTAATCATATTTGTTGATGGATTGGAGATGCCCCTTCCGTCTGAAATATAAATAAGGTATAATTAATTAACTTCATGGGAGTGAGCAAGGGAATTAAAAGTAGTCTAACTATTTAAATTGTCAAAAGTATCGGGATAATTTCTGCTTTTACCTCTATTAAATGGAGGTGCATAAATGTCACAAGTCACATCCATTGACTCGCATTTAATTATAAGGGTAGAATTTTTGCCCTAGACATTATTCAAATGAAACTAATATTTGGAATCAGGGGAAACATGTAAAAAAAGAAAAATGTTTTGCTGGTAAAAAAAAAAAAGGGGAGACATGTTTTGAAAAAAAACAGTTTTTTGTAGCAAACAAGAATGCCTTTTACAGTTTCTTTTAGGGTTCCTAGTACCATCTGGTAGAGAAGAGAAAGATGATGCTTATAATAGCACTAGAGAGTGGGTAATTATAAATTTCAAGTAGGCAACATCAAGTGGTGAGTTTGAATCTTTTATAATCAATATAATAAATACTGCTTCTGATTTTTTAATACAAAAATTAGATAATTTATTTATGGCTATTAATAAAATTAGTTGGGTCAGTTATTTCCAACACGTTTGTTATTTTTTTTTAAACTATCCTTTTGGGTGAGAACATTCTTAATATGTATAATCAATAATGTTA